TCACTTCACATATATTGCATCACTTCACTTATAATGTACATACACTTTGATATACACGGGGTCTTAGGAAGATAAGTTAGAATCGGTACGCGTAAGCTCTGCTTGGCGGTAGACAAAATTAATAATAAATGATATGGATCTGACGGACACTGCCACTACGCCCGTCACCCAGACACGTAAGTTGACAAATCCACCAGTAATGCACTACTACTGCTCGGTGGCAGAAATAGGTCAGTACTTCACTGAACGAACTCTTTCACAAGAGACTACTATATTTGTATATGCAATGCATTTAATATTTGAATTAGTAGAGGAAAATGAAGATGGAACACGTGTGACCTCAATTTAATTAAATATTGCTGAATAAAATGGAGAAGTGAAGACCAACACGTAGTTGGCGTGGCAAACTAAATCCTCATATGAGATCTTGTACTGTAGGTGCGTAAAATCGCGATGAGTGGAAGACAGGAGGCCTTTGCTCTAGTGGTATATAATAAAAAGATTATTTATCCTACGTTTCTACGACTATAGTCTACTACACTACTACTCCTCCGTCACGCTCAATTAATCCAAGAAACAACAACTTAATATTTCTTATTAAATTTATTAATAACAATTTAAATTCGACATTACATATTTATTTATGTAAGTATACAGTTCTATCTGGGATTGTGTACATATAGAGATTATCCTGTTATCATGAAATATTTTTCTATTGAGTTAGTATATTTTAGTTTTTAAGCATTATCAAACCCTTTATCAGAAAAGTACATAAATTACACTAGTAATTGTCATGATAAAAGGTTACTAACATAATTCTATTCAGAATTCGATGTTCTAGTTTATTACGTAAATGACCAGATTTCGTAGACTTTGTATAGCAGAATGGAACAGATAACATTTATTGCAACGTCACAATATATAAAAGTAGACAACAAAAGAATAAATAAAATCAAAATTATAACAAAAGACAACGAAACATATATTTATAATAACAAATAATCAATACAATTTGTGTTTTAACTGCCTCCGTGGCCGAACGGTTACCATGCCGGACTGCCACGCAGAGGTCCCAGGTTCGATTCCCGGGCCGGGAGAAATGTTTGTATGGCTTACATTTATTTCTCTCGTGAGTTTGGATGTAATTTGTGGTTGTCTATGTGTGTCCATGGCACCCGCGACACAGGGTTTCCCTAGTGCGGGGCTACATTGAGTGTGTGCGTTATTTTTTTATTTATTAACCCTGTCATGTGTGTGGTGTGGCGTACGCAATAGATCTCACTCTGCAAATGTCATGGCAGGGATTACATTGTGAGTTGTCACAGTCACACAGTTTCAGTGGACCCTACACGCAAAGTCGTGTCCCTTTTGTTGAAGGAACGACAAGAATGTTGTGTGTCAATAAATAAACAGCATACTCTAGCTAAATTCCATATAAAACAAAACGTTGCTATACAAGCAGCGACGGCATAGAAGAAGAACATTTTTTGTCAATTATCATTATTTAGGCTAGCTCTGCCCACGGCCTGCTCGCGTAATAAGAATTTAAATAGGTAAGTAGGTAATTGGAGTATCTAGAACTAATTAATACAAATTTCGCCAATTATTATTTATAATGATTGGAATTTAAAACTTCTATGAACAAACTTCACAAACATTTCTTCAAGATGAGCATTATCAATAGCCTGATAGAATTTCAGGGAAGAAACATTGAAATTGTAGTAACGGTAACCCTAAAAAATCATATGTTTTTGTTTGTTGACGTTTTCTTCTGGTGTTCTTCTCAAGGAAACAACGACAGAAAAAACTGATTTTTGATCAAAATGGGACGTAGTGAGTTTTACCTTTTAACCGACGATATTTATTTAGTATTTACAAAACTTATCACTTACTCATTAATTTAAACACTTAATTATATTTTAAATTATCAAATACATAAATATATACGTTACATATTTATAGTTATTAAGTTTTACTACAATTTTTGATTCACAAATCCATTGTTAAACTACTCAACCTCTCTCTACCTCCAAAATAAACAAACAATAATCACAGAATTTGTATATTTCGTACCTACACAAAATGAAATTGATAATTTTAAACCGAAACTCTAGATAAAATTGATAATTACATTGTCCCGGTTAAGTCAGGTGTGATTAGTGTTTTGACAGTTTGACACAAACTAGTCCATTCCACAGCTTGTGTCAAACTTACATATTTTCTAACAAAATTTTAACTATGTGTAATTACCCTATTTGTAATAATGTACAACTTTTATAACACAAATGGTTTATGTAAACGATAAATAACTAAAATAACCTTTCGAAGCTTAACTAACGATAGTAGTAGAGTAGGTTTCGGTAGAGGCATATACTAATATAACCTAATGGTTCACCTACAGCCTCTCAAGTGGAGGTCGTGGGTTTAAATCCGGGTGGGTCTTCAATCATTGAGTTTCTCCGAATTTTATTTGAAATTTACCATGAGCTTTTCGGCGAAGGAGAACATGTTCACATTACACAAGGGTTTGAAATATTTAGAACAAAAATTTCAAAGAGTCGCTTTGATGCTAATGTTGTTATTAAAATATTTTTTAATACATGTTAGTAACACTTTCAAATATTATTGTATTCTTTCTACGGCTCCGGGTTACGAATCAGAAGACCGAAAATACATTTGCCCGAAATAACGTTTGCATGAATTTCCATAATCCCGAAAATATTCTTTTAGGTTTTTCGGGAGAAATATGTGTATGGCCTACATTTATTTCTCTCGTGAGTTTGAGTGTAATTTGTGGTTGTCTATATGTGTGTCTATGGCACCCGCGACATAGGGTTTCCCTAATGCGGGGCAATGTTGAGTGTGTGCGTTATTATAATTATTATTATTAATTAGTACCTAAGTATTTATTTTGGAAAGCATTTCTCTTGTGCTATCAATATCGCGCATTTTAATTTTGTAATTATCTCACAACGGCAAATACCCTACTACCGTCATAGCCGTACTTTTTCATGCACAAGAAACATTGGCAAGACCTATAAGCAGTACGACTATGCCTTTTGACGGAATCAACCGTCGTCAGTGATAAACCGTAATGATTATATTGAATCAATGTAAGCACTACGGCATATAGAAAAGTGGTGACGTTTTTGAGCGCAGTATAATTTCAGTATTATGCACGAACGGGTTAAGAAAATGATAAGAAAAGAAAGGAAACCAGAGCTGATGCTGGCTTGATAAAAGACCATAATATAAAGCTTTAATATGTGATTACATCAATGAGTGAACTGTACATAGAAAGGAGAGAATACAGGAATTTATCCAGGAAACATAGCTTGAACTTAAGAAGAAAGTGACAAGTATTAACAGAGAGCATCTTACACCGCCAAAATGCGTTAAAAATCAAAAGTTGGATGAATGACAAAATATATCAACTTAAGAAACAAAGAAGGTAATTGAAGCAGACTGAAACTAGGTAACTCTCTGTACATACTCCCCATGAGTATCAGAGCAACAGAATCCCAGAGCAGAACCAATTTACAAAAGTTCATTTTCCAAATTGGTTCTACTAGGAATCGTACCAGGGATCAAGAATGATGGAATTTATTCCGGGGCATAACTCAGAACACCCAGGCCAAAACAATTTTCGAAAAGTTCAGATTTAGTTTTATAGTTGATTGAGCTGATTTTTTACGGTTTTTAAAAAAAATCTCGAATAACTCGAGAAATCGGGTACAAGAATTCTCGAAACTCAAGAAAAAAAAGTCAGACCACCCTAACTCGTTATGAATGGCATTGTATGAAATTCAACATTTACGTATAAAATTTATTTATAAATAATAAAGGCTACTCCATTATACCTGTGTTCAAGTAGTTTTCACTAGAAGCTACATATGGTGCATTTTGGTAAGTTTCCAGTAGAAGCTGAATATGGTGTTTTTTTGCGCCTTTCATTTGTTGCAGTACTGCAATGACATTAGAATTTAAATTCAACGTTTTAGCTTTTTCATATTCCTTTACATGTCACTTCGTTTAAATAGGTTGACTTGGGACATTTTTTCGTGGTTTTTGTATTAGACCCGTCGTCCATTTATTTGTTAGTCAATGAATAAGTGTCACAAATTCTTTTCATTTTGGATAGGTGTTTATTGTACAAATTCATATTTTATAACACTTGTACGTATTTAATGGAACAACCTGGTTTGTTAATAAGTGAATATATTTTTAAATTAAGTAATGTACGTGAAAGCGTGTAACTGGGCGTTCGCCGCGCGGAAGCCGCGCGAGTACTTTCGCGTCGTGTAGCTGGGCGCTTTTTATTATTGTCTCATTATAAGATTTTACAAACCGTACAGCTGCGGGACGAATGTACGTACTTGCACAGAACAAAGGCGGGGTTCACGCAGTTCCTCGGCGCCTCCACCACTTGTAGAGAGGGTCGTAGCTTGGGTTAGCGTGAGGCACTTTTTAAAGATAAAACAGGACTATATCCATGAAATAAATATTTATTGCGTATTTTCAGTTCGAAGCTTGTTCTAAAACAACCAAGGTATTCTTCTTTTTCAATCCTATTTTTTTAATTTACTTTTTATTAATGTATCCTACTTTTTCAAACCTAAATTCATTCAG